GCTGCCGGAAGTCGCCCACCAGCAGGAACCGCACGTCGTGGTTCAGGGACACGCACGCGATGTCCGCCCACAGGCCCATGTCGAACTGCGTGACCTCTTCCACCAGCAGCCAGTCCAGGCGCTGCACGCTGGCCCCCCGCACGTACTTGCGCACCCAGTGGTCGGCCGTCTTCGCGCCGGCGCCCAGGTTCTGCACGGCGCTGTGAGTCTTGCTGATGAGGTGCACTACCTCACCGCGCTCCCGCAGCTTGGTCACGATGGTCCGCGCCAGGTGCGTCTTGCCTGTGCCGGGCAGCCCGGTGAGCAGGAGCGATCGGCCGGCCAGGCAGTGCGCCACAGGGTCGGCCACGTCCGTCCAGCCGGCGGCCCTTGCTGGCGGCTCCGCCTGCATGCAGGGCGGCGCGTGCTTGCCTCGCAGCGGCTTCGTCGTCTCCTCGTGGCGGAATTTGGGCTTACCGTCTGGGTACGTGTTGTGGACGAGCCGCTCCAAGTTGTCTCGGAACTTCCGCGGCATGCCCTGCAGCACCACGCAGTCCGTTTTCACCTGCTTGATGTACTTTGGCGGAAGGCCCAGTTCTCGTCGGATGCGTGCCACCATCGTCGCCTCGAAGCCGAGCACGCAGTCGTGGATGGGGCGCAGCGTCCGTTGTTGTGGATTGAGCGGGTGGTGATGAAGTCCCACACGTACCGGCCTTCGCCGACGTAGAATACCTGCCTGGTGTCGGCCCCTGTCGCGTCCAGCTCGTTGCTGCTGCTGCGCAGCGTGTACGCCTTGTTGCTGTCGTGCGCCATGAGCCCGATCATCGAGTTCACTGCAAGCTTTGCCATATGTTCTTCGCCGTCGGGCCAGGCCTGCTCCATGACGTCCAGCGCCGGCGCCAGGCACTCCGCGGTGACGTGGCTGGCCGCGTTCATCGTGTGGAGCACGTCGGACCACTGCGCCACGCCGCAGCGCAGCATGTAGTCCAGCGAGACCTTCGGGTACCAGCCCGGCCCCACGTAGGGCAGCAGCGTCACGGGGGCATCGCGCCCCCGATTTTGCAGGTCCACAAACGAGAGGTCTGCGAGGTGCCCGGGCCGCGCCGGCTCGATGTTGTCGGCCGGGCAGAAGATGGGCAGTGGGAACGGTGCGTTGGCCAGCCCGTTCCTGCGGCAGCGCACCACGTCCACGCCTTCGAGCGGTCCGCTGCCCGGGGCCCGCGCCTGGAACACTAACGGAGGCTGCTTGGGAGATCGTACGTACGCGTCGTAGACCGAGCGCGTGAACCGCGACTCCAGCGACGTGGGCTGCGTGCTTTCGGTCTGGGTCTTCATCTGGTGGCACTCAAGGCAGAGCGCCTGGAAGCGCTGCTGCTGCCCGGCGAAGGCCTGCCGCACCGGCACGATGTGGTCGAACTCCGCGCACCCGGCGCCGATCTGCTGCCCGCACACGGCGCACTTGCCTCCCTGCTCGGCCAGCAGCAGCTTCTTCTGCCGCTGGCTCGGGGTGATCCTCGGCGCCTTGACCAGCGTGGAGAAAGCCTCGAAGCTCAGCGAGGCCAGCCTCTGCCCGCGGTAGTGCAGCCCCAGCCCCTTGGCCCATGCCTGCAGCAGCTCCCAGTCCTCGGGCAGCTCACGGATCACGCACTGCCCGCCCTTGGCGCGCAGCTTCAGGCTCGAGAACTGCGCGAGCGAGCGGAGCGTGACCTGCGGGTTGTGCTCCGCGAGCAGCAGCTGCCGCCTCGTCTCCCGTAGGTCCGTCGTGTGGAAGTGGCCCGGCCTGATCTCGCCCTGCCACGGGCTCCACTCCTCCAGTGGCGGCACGGTCTGCTTCGGGTCGCGCCGGTACATGACCAGCGCGCAGCCCATCTGCTCCAGCACCGGCCGGGCGTTCCGGTAGAAGAAGGCGTGCCCGTCGTAGTAGGTGAACACCACGGTCTTGGTCTCCCGCTGCGCGGGCTCGAAGCGGTCCAGGGGCTCGCCTGTGTTGGAGATGAGGACCATGGGCGCGTTGCGCCACGCGCAGAAGGCTCGTATCTCCACCGGCGAGATGCCGTGCGCGCGCCAGTCGTGCTCTGCAAGGGCGTCGAAGTCTCCGCAGACCTCCTCGAAGGGCACGCCCAAGAGTTGAGCCAGCTGCCGCGGCACGCAGGCGTTGTCCCCGGAATCCTCGAATGCGCATTCCAGGATACTGTTGAAGCACGGCAGTTGGTACGACACGCGGCGCAGGCCTCGCAGCCTCTGCCGCAGGATGGTTTCTACGTGTACGCGGCTGTTCCGGTATTGCGTCGTCTCCGAGGACACCACCCACTCCCCCTCCGGGTCGTAGAAGTACGTCTCGTCGCTGAGTTCCATGATGGGCGCCCTGCCGGCGGCGCGGTCCTCGTCCTCCGCGGTTATCAGCCGCAGCGTCTCCTGCTTGACGTTTTGCAGTATTTGCTGCTCCGACAGCCTGTCGGGCTGCCGGCTGGCCTCCCCACCCAGGACATTTGCGGGAGCCAGTCCCTGCGCTCGTAAGCCCGGCCCGCGTTTTTGCCGGCCCGCCGCATCCCCCTGATGACCACTGGGATGTGTGCTACGTGCTGCGAGTACTTGTTCTTGAAGAACCGCCTCCCTAGGTTCGTCAGCTGGTAGGTGCCGTCCTCCCGCAGCCGCCGCACTAGGCCCCGCTGCCCGTTCTGCAGTAGCACGTAGTCGGCCGCACCCTCCCTGACCAGCGGCTGCCTTGGGTCGAAGGTCCTCGACTCTGGCTGCCGCCCGAGCATGCCGAAGTAGGCCTCCCCGGCCCTAGTAACGCTCCCGTCCGCGCGCTGGAGCAACGCGTAGGCGCCTCGGCCCCGCCTCAAGCCCAAGACACGGCTTCCGTCATCCGTGTCCCGGGCCCTCGATCCGGCCTCGACCGCCTCCCTGATGTGCTCCCGCTGCCTCGCCCAGGATGCCATTGTTGGGTTTGATTGCTTTTCTTAGGCTGGTTAAAAAAAAAGGTCGTCCGATCAAGGTGGCCGCTCCGGCCCCGGGTGCCTCAAAGCGCGCGGCATCAAATGGATCGGTTGCTTGATGTGTGGATTTTTGCATGACATTTGCTTGGTGTGCATGGTTTTGCATGTTTTTGGCATGGAATTTGCTTTTGATTGCACCCTGACCCCCTGTCTTGAGGAAGGTGACGCCCTCGTGGAACATCCTGGCGAAGCACTACGAGGGTCTGGCGCTGGGGGGGCGGGGGCAGTGCCGAGCTGGCACTTAGGAGTGCCGAGCAGGCACTGGTAGGTAGATGTGCCGAGCAGGCACTTAGGAGTGCCGAGCAGGCACTGGTAGGTAGATGTGCCGAGCAGGCACTTAGGAGTGCCGAGCAGGCACCTGTAGGAGGTGGTGGGGCTTGATACTGGTTCGCCCAACTCCATTTCGATACTGGCTCGCCCAACTGGGCCTGTTTTTGCGTGTTTTTGCACGCTTTTGGGATTGCGCCCTTTTGCACCCTGATTGCACCCTAATTGCACCCTAATTGCACGGAGCTGACGCTGTCGTGTCGTGTGTTGGGGGGGGGGCCACTGCGAAAGTGGCGGCCGCTGTACAAGTGGCGGGTGGTGCGACCACTGTTCAAGTGGCAGGCCACTGTACAAGTGGCATGGAGGGGGCCACTGTGAAAGTGGCGGCCACTGTACAACGGGCACAGTGTCGTGGATCGAAGGTTGTGACGGGGTTTGCGTGGTGCTTTGCTATTTGAGCAAGTGGCGGAGTTGCGTGACTTGACCTTGACATTTGTATTTTTCACGATTTTGTGGCATGTGGTTGTTTGGATGGGAGGGACACTGCGTGAGGATTTGATGCCTGGAGGACAGTGCCGTCTGGCGTGATGGACCCTGCGTGCCCCGAGTGCCCCGAGTGCCCTGGGTGCCCTGGGTGCCCTGGGTGCCCTGGGTGCCCTGGGTGCCCTAAGTGCCCTGCGTGTTCTGGGTGTTCTGGGTGCTTTGGGTGCCCCAAGTGCGCTCTGAGTGCCCTGGGTGCCCTGGGTGCCCCAAGTGCCCTGGGTGCCCTGGGTGCCCTGGGTGCCCAAGTGCCTGGGTTCCCTGGTGCCTCGGGGCCTTGCTGTCACACGGTGTCAGAGCAAAAATCACGACCAGATGGAGCGGCCCCAAACGAGGCTTCGCGAACCTGTTCTTTTACGTTGGTAATCCGCGATTAAAAGAACGCCGGTTTAGAAGGGACAGGAGTCCCCGCCTGTGCCCGGCTTCACCAGCAGGTCTCTCACCTCCAGCACCAACCCGCACTGCTTCCCCATGATCCAGACCTGCCGGGCCTCGATGTTGGCCTGACACTCGCAGCCGGCAAGAGTCTCGGGCCTCTGGATCTTGCTGCCGTCGGTGTCCCAGAAGCGGACGTTCCGCGCGTCCAGTTTGCACTTCAGGAAGGTCGCTCCCCGTCGGGACTCCTTGAGGCAGCTCTGCCACCTGTCCTTCACATCACCGTAGTCGCCCCAAATGCGGCTCGACTGCGAAGACAGCTCGTTAACGCACCTCTTCTCGAATTCCTCCCAGGCCGCCCAGGCCTCGGAATCCCTCTCCATCGCAAAGCAGACGTTCTGCCGAGGCCCCTGGTCCTCGCCGAAACTGCTGGGCTCCCAGAGGACGCTGGTCCACTCGGACTGCCAGACGATAGGCTTCCCCTCAGACCTCAAGGGCGCCGACTTGGCTCCCTTGGGGCTGGTCTGGACCTCGCCCAGGGCGACGCTAGTGGCGATGGTAGTCATCTTGACTTTGCTTGCCGGTCCTTTTCTTATAGGGCGAGAAAAATAGTGGTCCGACCAAAAGCGTTTGGTCGGCCCTCGCTTCAAGCGGCTCGAGGGCCGCCATTTCCGGAAAAAACCTGTTTATGTTTGTTTTTCCGGAAATTCGTTTGGCATGGCACGGCGTGGTGTTTTTGCATGATTTTCATGTTGTCAGTCGACTTGTGAGCACTTGAGGGCTCTGTGGTGAGACCCGGCTTGCTGCCGCCTTTTGAGGGCCTTACTCGGGGTCCGGGAGATGGGAGCGAGCCGCTCGCGGGGGTGTAAGGCGCGGTTTTTCGGCCCACGTGCCCACGTGTCCTTGCCCTTTGCCCGCATTCAGGGTGGCCAAGACTCTGGAATTTGCTCGGCCCTTGGAGTTGCCTTTTGTCACCTTTTTTAACTGCGTGCCAGGGCTTTGTTTGACATCGAGGTGTATTGCCCGGGCCTTTTCACTGTTTCCGTTGTCATGGTCATTGTTGTCAGCAGATCTTTCAGGCCTAGGACCAACCTTGATCCCTTTGGCCCCCCGCCCGTGCCAGGATTCGTTTGACCTACATGCTGCCTGGGCCTTTGCGGTGCGTTGGATGTCGATGGTGCACTTGCTTTGTTTCGACTTGATTGGTGCCACTGCGCATGTGCTCGTGCTTGGGTCCGAGGTGTGCTGGACCGCATCCTGCAGACCTGGCCGGCCGGGGCCCCCACTGCGTTTTCACCGGAACTGTAGCTCCCCCCGTAAAGTGAATTGCGGCACCCCAATTTTCTGAGTATCTTGGTTTTGAGGGCGCCCTGAGCTCCCGGACACTACTCCCCTTACCTTGTTTTCCGGTTCGCCAGGTTTGGATGATGCGGGGATGCTGGGGCCCTGGAGTCCCTGTGGTTTTTGTGGGGTCTCTGGGTCTTTGTGGGTCCTTGAAGTCCTTGCTTTTTCTGGGGTCCCTGAGGTCCCTAGAATCCCTGGGGTCCCTGAGGTCCCCTGGTCACTTGTGCGTCGTTGTGTTGAACCGTCTGCTGCAGGCGCCGTGAAACAACATCTTTTCCATCGAGACGCCAGGGCCCCAAAGTGCATCTATCCTTGTCTACTGCGGTTTCCAGGGACTCCAGGAGGGACCCTGGGGACCCCACAGACCCCAGGGACGCCAGGGACCTCAGGGACCCCAGGGACATCGCGGATGCTGTTTATATGTATCTTTATATTTATATGTTTCTATATGATGTTTTGGTTTTTACATCCGTGTTTGTAATTGGGAAATGATGTGGCTTTGAGTTCGACATTTTCTTTTTGAATTACTTTATGATGCTGGAGACTCATTTGAACATATCAGGAACTCTGAAGACCCTGGGTCCCTAAGATCTCTAAGGTCCCTAAGGTCTGCAGGGTCCCCAACATCCCCAAGGTCCCTGATTTCCCTGGGTCCCCTGGGCCCCTGGGCCTGGAGTCTCCTGAGTCCCCTGGGTCCCCTCCCCTGTTTCCTGGGTCCCTTGAGTCTGCTGGGTCGCCTGGGTCCCCTGGTCCCCCAAGGTCCCCTAGGTCCCCTGGAGCGCTGGGTCGTCCCTTGAGTTTGCTAGGTCCCCTGGTCCCCTGGTGTCTTGTCAGCTTTCTAGGTCCCCTAGGTCTGCTGGGTCCCCTGGTCCCCCGAGGTCCCCTAGGTCCCCTAGGTCCTGGCTCCCCTGGTGTCTCAGCTTTCTAGGTCCCCTAGGTCCCCTGGGTCCCCGGTCCCCCGAGGTCCCCTAGGTCCCCTAGGTCCCCTGCCTTGAGTCTGCTAGGTCCCCTCCCCTGGTGTCCCCTCAGCTTTCTAGGTCCCCTAGGTCTCCTGGGTCCCCTGGTCCCCCGAGGTCCCCGAGGTCCTCGTGCCTTGAGTCTGCTAGGTCCCCTGGGTCGCGCCCCCTGGCTATCTTGTGCCCCAATCCCCCACGCCAAGAGAGGTATCGTTCAAAACTGGCAGGGGGCGAGTTTTTAGGTACTGACTCGCCCAACGGTGCGGTTTTTTTCAAGTACTGGCTCGCCCAACGGGTGGGGGGGTGCTTTTTTTTTCAAGTACACGCGCCAGGGGACCCAGGGGACCTAGGGGACCCAGGGGACCTAGGGGACCTAGGGGACCCAGGGGACCTAGGGGACCAGGGGAGGGGACAAGGCGACTCCAGGAGACCCAGGGGACGTAGGGGACCTAGAAGACCCCAGTGGACCCAGGGGACCCAGGGGACCCAGGGGACCTAGGGGACCTAGGGGACCCAGGGCACCTAGGCGACCAGGGGAGGGGACCCAGAAGATCCACAAAAGACTCCAGGGACGTAGGGGACCTAGAAGGGGACCCAGGGGACCCAGGGGACCTAGGGGGCACCAGGGACCCAGGGGACCTAGGGGACACCGGGGACCTAGCAAACTCAAGAAACTTGAGGGGACAGGAAGACTCCAGGGGATATAGGGGACCCAGGCGACTTAGGGGACCCAGGGACCCAGGGGACTTAGGGGACCTGGGAAGGGTCGAAGGCCGAAGCAGACAGGAAGAGCCCTGGAAGGCGTACCCTACCACCTGTCCCAAGGCGCTCTTGGTGCAAGCGCCAGAGCTGCAGAGGCGCGCATTGTGGTGGAGCTGGCTTTCAGGTCGACTCAACATGTGCGTGGTCCTTCAGGACCCCTCAAACAATACAGATTTGCTGCAATTAAAGGGAACTTGCCCAGAGGGCCCCAATCTTGCAAGATTGTGTTTTTTGACCATACTTTGGTGGCCCTGCTTTTTGGGTTGGAACGCCCTTACGAGACAAAGCTTCCCGATTTGGAGCAACACTTGGTGAACCCTGGGACTGCCCCAATCCGAGCATAATCTGGTTTGGTGCCGTGGGCAACGTAGGTTTGCTGCTTTAGATGGCGGGTGGCCTTCCCCCCTCTTCCCATTCAAAACCAGCAGCAGGGCAGAAGGGGTTTAGGGGGCGGCCCTGCCCACCCCGAGGCTGTGCGAGTGGCGAGTGGCGAGCCCTTTCACCTCAGTGAGTGCCTTTGTGTGCGGTCTCTTTGAGGTTTGTGACTTTGAGGGGCCATGTGAGCTGTTGTGCCTTGATCGCCCTTGCGGGCAGCCGTTTGGTGCAGAGACTTCACCGCAACACCGCAAACTGCCATGTCGGACTTTGATCGTGTGACGGGTTTGAGAACCGGTGGCAGTGATCATGATCATGAGTCAGACAGTGAAAGCTCGGAGGTCGTTCTCAAACACAAGAAAGACTATGTGGCTGCCCTTCAGGGGGCCGGCGTGGCAGCCAGCATGAATTGGAAACTGGCCTCGTTGCAGGAGGCTTGGAATCAGCACAAGAGAGGTGGCGTCCACTCAGAGGCCACAGCAGTTGAGGAGCCGGCCGCAGAGGCCACAGTTGAGGAGCCGGCCGCAGAGGCCACAGTTGAGGAGCCGGCCGCACAGGCCGCAGTTGAGGAGCCGGCCGCACAGGCCGCAGTTGAGGAGCCGGCCGCAGAGGCCGCAGTTGAGGAGCCGGCCGCAGAGGCCACAGTTGAGGAGCCGGCCGCAGAGGCCGCAGTTGAGGAGCCGGCCGCAGAGGCCACAGTTGAGGAGCCGGCCGCAGAGGCCGCAGTTGAGGAGCCGGCCGCAGTCAAGGAGCCAAGGCCCATGGAAGCTGTTGATGCCGTGAAAGTTGGACAGAGCCCGGACCCTCCATGTAGGCAAGTGCCCTCTGAGGAGTTGCAACTGGCTGCGATCGCTCAGCAGCTCGTGCAATTGCCGCGGAGTGAGAGGATCTCTCGGCTGGAGGTGTTGGTCTCTTCATGGAAGTCCCAAGATGATTCTTTCTGCCTCCCGAAGGCGGTCGAAGTCAATGTCCGTGAGGAGCCTGCCAAGAAGACCAAGGCCGTCGCCGAGCCTGCCAGGGAGAAGCCGCCTTTGAAGAAGCGTCGGAACTACTACCTCCAGGCCATGCGATCGCTTGGTGTGAAAACTACTTGGTCAACTGGGCAGGGAGGCTCCGGCAGGCTGGGCTTCGTTTTGTCGGAGCCATTCAACAGGGAGGCGGTGGAGCACTTTGGGTCGCTGCGTGCAGCTGCGCAGCTCGGCTTCAGGCGAGCTCTGGCGGCGCTTCTGGTGCGGGACACAGAGGCCGCTGGTGTGGTTAAAGTGGCGTACCGGGAGTGCCACACCGTTGCTGACCTCTTTGATGTGGAGACGCTTGGCAGAGCCTACGGTGGCTATGTTGCCAAGCACTACGAGGAGCTGGCAAAGCGGCTCAAGAAGATCGACCCTGTGAAGGGGCAGGACGATGTGGATGCCATCAGCGCGCAGATGGGCATTTACATGCAGCTGCCCCCCGTCTTTGGCAATCTTCAGAAGTTGGGCATGAGCTCCTTCGCTGCCTCAAATTCTGCCTTTTCCTTTTCGCGTGCCTTGAAGGACCGGGCTTGCTTGCTTGAGCGTTTTTTGAGTCCCTGGATGGGTGAACGTTTTTTCCGAGCCTGTAGGAGGTTTGCCGCAGTGGCATGCCCCTCGTGGACATCGACCAGCAGTGCAGTGCCGGGCGGATCTTGTTGGGGCGACGCCCGAGCGCCGCCAGGCTTGGGCACTTTGTGCGCAATAGGGACTCCTACCTGGACATGCTGCCAGTGGAGCGGGAGGACGCCAAGGAGTTCTTCACGGGCCTGTTGTTTGGGGGCGGCAGCGGGCGCTGCCGGGAGTTTGAGGATCAGCACGGCGTCCGGCTGCCTCAGTGCGTCCAGGACCTCATTGCGGAGCTGCGGGCTTTGAGGGACATCGATGAGAAGAAGTACGAGAACCAGATGAGGATGCTGGCCACCGAGTACCCTGGCAAAACTCTGCAGGCCTTCCTCCACCAGATCGAAGAGCGTCGGATCTCCAGCGCCTTTTGCGCTGCAGTGGAGGCCCAGGGGCTGGGCCGGCCCGTTAGTTGGGAACATGACGGAGTTGTGTTTGCTCCCTTGAGAGACCTCCTGCCAGAGGAGGTGGACCTCTGGAGACAGCGCGTGCTTTGCGCCGCACAGGCCGCGGTGCCGGACAGCCCGCTCGGTATCAAGGCTTACCAAAGCATGGAGGAGCTGCTGCGCCACTTCAAGACCATCCACCCGGAGTGTGACTGGGAGACGGTGGACAATGACTGGGTAGAGCAGGAGCAGGTTCGGTTCCAGCTCAGTGCCTACCTGTCGGCCGGCGTGGAGTCCGTGGACTATCTCGCGGCCCAGTTGCTGCCCGGGCACGTGCTGAACAACGGTGTGCTTGTGTTGGACACATACAAGTGCGTCCCAACATCTACCAGGCACACCGAAACCGCCATGTTTGACGAGGGCAAGGGCCGCTGGACTTTGGCGAAATCGGCGCACGCCGAGACGACGCTGGCTGATGTGGTGAAGCAGGTCTACATCGACTCGACGCCGGAGGACTGGGTCGGCCTCCCCCCCAAGGTGGCGTTCCAGATCGCCTCGCTCCGCAAGGTGGCGAATACCGCGATGGAAAAGGGGCTCTACGATCCCTACTTCTTCGCAGAGCTGGACGGCAATAAGTACCGTGACTTCTTGTTGTTTCTGGATGGCTGGGTGCTGCACGTACCAACCATGCAGGCCACCAGAGGCCGCAGGGACTTGCGGATGAGCCGCTCGCTGGGGATCTCCTACCCCGGTGACTTGATGCACAAGCTGGACGTTTTGAACGTCGCCGCCCTCCTGGAGGAGGTGGCCTGCTTTGAGGACGGCCTGCCGGAGAAAGACTACACCAGCGAGGACATGTTCCCCCAGACCTTGGCAGACCGCCTGTGGAACCTCTCCCAGCACCCGGAGTTTGCAGCCCTCCGGTTCCTCTTCAGCTCGCACGAGTCATGGCCCAGGGTCCTTTTCCTGCTGAAGTTTGCTGCCTTCCAGCTGTGTTCCACGAAAAGCTTGGAGGATGGGATGCTTTGGGTCGGCGCTGGGAAGAACGGCAAGAACGCCTGGATGTCCATGCTGCTCAAACTCTTTGGTGATTGTGGCCACACACCGCCCAAGGAGGCGGGGTCTTGTGTGAGTCAAAAACGATGCCCTGTTTTGCCCAGTCTCCACTGCGTGCAATGTCTCAATAAAACAATGCTTTGTGTTGTTTTGTTCGAATGCCCCTTGAAATCGATGGTTTACACGTGCTTGAGGTGCTCACGAAGCCGCCGCAACCGCCGGATGAGGCGGCGCCTGTGCGCTTCGGCCTCAGGGGAAGGCGGTTGCTGTGGTTCAACGAGCTGGAGGAGAAGCACCCCATTCAGAGCACGATTTTCAAGGACTTCCGCGACCACGCAACGACCTTGACGGCTCGCACACTGTACGGGGACAACGTTGACTTCAACGTCACTTGGGGCATGGTGCTTGCCACCAACAGTAGGGTGTCCTGGACCGCCGAGGATGGCGGCGTTGGGAGGTCGCTGACGAAGGTGCGGTGGCCATTGCGGTTTGTCGCCCCGGGCATGCCGCTTGGTCCGAATGACCGAGTCGTGGATTTGCGGTGGAAGGCGACGGCTGTCGTGGATAGCGTCGCCCCGGGGCTGCTTTACCTGCTGCTCCAGGCTCCCTTTTTTTGGGGGAGATCATGCATTGATTAGCTTGCGCGCTGCGGCTTTTTTTTTGCCCCCTGGAGGTCTACAAAGTCTTTCTGCCCCGGCTCACAGACACCCAGATCCACCCGCGACCGCATTGTGTGGTCCTTGAGACCGGCGATTCGTCGGAGACGTTCTATGCGAGCAAGGCCGTGGCTAACTTTGTGGAGACCACGGGAACGCTGCTCAAGAGCGGCCCTGACTGCCTTGGATGGCAGGCTGCTTTGGAGGCCTTCACGGCCAGTGCTCGGGGCATCAACCGGGTAGGCGCGAGGGATATCTTCAAGGCAGAGTTCGAGGCACACAAGTACTGTGGGAAGTTGCTGGCAAAGCACCGTGAGACCAAGGCTTTCCTTGCCAGCTCAAAGCGGTGAGTCTCTCTAGTTTTGTGCATGTGCACCTTTTTGGGACCGAGCTGTCCTTCTACAGGTAGTTCACGTGATGGAACAGTGTCTCACGTGACGACCGGTGTGGGTGCCTGAAAGGCGTTCCGCACTGTTGAGAGGAGAAAAACGTGCAGTCATGTCATTTGCTCACAATGCAAATTGTCGGGAACATCCAGCTCATGCGGTGCAGCCGTCAACTCTTGTTTTCATTGCATGTCGAATCAAAAACCAAGCAATCTCTGTGACTCTCAAGGCCGGGCCATCATCTGCCTCACAAACACAAAGCCGGCTCCCCGGCACAGCAATCAAGTTCATGCGACGCACTTTTGCGTGAGAGAAATTGTGCGCGTGCACGTGCCCCCCCTCCCCGTTAATAATCTAGGGGTTTGCGCGTCTTTTTCTCCCGAACCGCACTGCGGCTGTTCTTTTGGGGTTCCCACCTAAACGCGCGTCTCAAAGTATTCCAAAGCTGCCACTTGCCGTCCTACAAAGTTGCCAGCTCCCCGTCCTACAAAGTTGCCAGCTGGAGCTGCGGTCTTTGGCTCAAATGTACTGCAAAGTTTTCGGCTGAAGCTGCGGTCTTTGGCTCAAATGCAAAGTTGCCGTTATGAGCCGTACTTTGGTACTGTAAAGTTGCCAGCTGGTTATCAGTCGATTGTCCTCGGCCGGGGCGGGCCCAGGAAGTTGTCCAGCTGCCTCACGGCCGCCGGTCTGCCACGCCTAGTCAGCCTGCCCGCAGCGTTGCCGCTGCCCTGGGGAGCCGGCAGGGCCAGCTTCAGGAGAGTCTCACGGCCCTCGGTGCCCCTGACGGTCATGGAGTCCACGGCCGCGATCTGCTGCACGTCGCCGTACTGAGGGTTGAAGCTCCTCGCCGCGTTCGTCGGCGCTCGGAAGGCGCCCGCGTCCTCTATGGCCTTGGTGCGGCGTTCCGTGAGGCCCTTGTTGTGCTGGAACCGGTCGGCGTTGTCTTGGAGCACACGGAACTCCGTGGCCGGCTGCTTCTCGACGTCCTCCGGCGCAGCGTGCACCGTCTCGTGGGGCCGAGCGTTGTACGCGTCCGCCACCTGCTCGAGGTGCTGGCTCCACCCGCCGCCCTTCCTGGCGACTCGAGTGGCCAGGTCCTTCTTCAGGGTCTGGATGCCCCGGTCCACCACGGCAATGGCGTTGCGGTCCTCGGGCCGCTTCGTCCGGTGCACGGCTTCGGGCAGCTCCCGGTCCAGCGTGGCAAACTCGTTGCCCAGGTCTGTCGTGACCACAAAGTTCTTGTCGTCCCCCGTCAGCTCCTTTGCGGCGCGCTTGGTGGCCCGGCCCACCGTCTCGGCGTTCTTGTTCTGCAGAGGTTCACGGCGGCCTCCCGGGTGAAGACGTCCATCACCACCAGGCCGTACTTCGTCTTCCCCCGGGTGTTCTGGCTGAAGTCAATGAGGTCGGCCTGCAGCCGGTCGTTCGGCCCCTCGGCAGCAGACTTGCCAAGCGCGCGCGGCCGGGGCGCCTGCACCTGCCGGCCCACGTCGGCCTTCAGCGCCTCGAAGGCCATGGCCTGCGTCACGTCGAGGTCGCGCTGCCTCGCGAGTCGGTACAGCTTCCGCGGGTCCCGCACGTTGAAGTCGTCGGCCAGGTCCCTCAGCGCCTCCATTTTTTACTTGTTCTTCGGCCCCCGCTGGGCCTGCCAGGCTTCAAGTGCGTCCAGCCGGGCCTGGAAGCCCTTGCACACCCCCCAGAGCACGCTGGTCAGGTGCGAGTAGTCAAGCGTGACCATCTCCGTGCCGTCGCTCCACCGCGTGGTCCCCGTCAAATTCTTCCACTTTGTTCCTGCGAAGTCGTCCGAGGCGAAGCCCAGCCTCAGGTCGCCGTTCATGTCCGGGCGTTTGTACTGCTTGGCCTCCACGGAGTCGAAGAGCTGCTTGAGCTCTGCCACGTCGGCCTCGGCAATCTCCGTCTTCACCCGGCTGTCCGACAAGTCCGTGAAGCTCGTGTTGCAGACCACGTTGCCCGTGTTGCCCGCGATCACGAGGCAGCCGGGGTTCCGCTGGTTCGTGGTCAGGGACAGCTGCGTCGAGAGGCTCTTCGTCTGCACCAGCGCCTCGTCGTTGATCATGATGAGCTCGCACTGGTGCGCCCCGCCGTCCCGCTCCAGGAAGACCCGCGCGCTCTGGTTGCCCAGCAGCCGCAGCTCCGGGCCGCTGTCGGGGGCCGCGCTGTTGTTGGACACTTGCAGCTTGCTCCAGCCCGCCCAGTTCTTCGTCAGAAGAGATCGTCCGAGAAGTCGGAGGTGTTGGTCACGGTGAGCGTGTTGGACGCGAAGAGCTGCGGCGCGGAGACCGTGCCCGAGCTCGTCACGTCGCCGCACACCACGCTGCCCGTCGACACTCCGCCGCTCGTGGCCGTGAAGGTGCAGCCCAGGCTCTCGCAGTCCAGCGGGCCCGTGGAGGCCGCCCCGCTGACTGTCAGCGTGGCGCCCGTGAGCGCACCGGTGGCAGCGAAGCTCGCCGCGGTGGCTGCACCCGAGGCCGTCAGCGTGCCAGTGGACACGTCGCCCACCGTGGTGAAGTTCCCGGCGTTGGCCGTGTTGTTGATGGTGAGAGTGCTGCCGGTGATTCCGGTGGCCGAGCTCAGCAGGCCCACGCTGGCCGCCCCGCTGATGCTCAGCGAGCTGCCTGACACGGCCCCCGTGGACGACAGCGTGGCTCCGGCGACGGTGCCGGTGGCCGTGAGCGCTGCGCAGGAGACTGCGCCCGAGGCGTCCACGCCCGTGGTGAACACGTCCGTGCAGTTCACGTCGTTGCACAGCAGCTGGTCGCAGCCCACGTTGCCCTGCGCGGTGAGCCCGTCCAGCGTGGCCGAGCCCGTGAGGGCCAGCGAGTCCGCCAGCAGGTCCGTCACTGAGACAGACTCTCCCTCGAAGGCGCTGGCCCTGATCTGCATGCTGTACAGGTCCAGCGTGCCCGCCGACTGCTGCACCAGCCCGGGGATCGAGCCTCCGAAGGCTCCGAAGTGCAGCTTCGCGATTCCGCCCGGCGGCACCGAGAAGTCCAGGCGCGCCGTGCTCCAGACGCCCTGCGAGGCCGTGCCGAGGAAGGTGCCGGTGACGCCCACGTAGTCGTTGTCGGCCGCGCTGACGTACATCACCAAGTTGGAGGCCGTGCCCAGCCGGTACCGGCAGCCGAAGGAGTAGCGTCTCCCCGGCGTCAGCGTGTAGGTGCGCACAATGTTCCAGGCGAAGGCGCTCAGGGTCATGGCGTAGCCCTCCAGCTGGAAGCCTCCCACCGTGAAGCTGGCCGAGGCCACGGAGCTCTGGCTGTTGGAGCGCACCAGAAAATTTCCAAGCGTGGTGAGCGTGGGCTCCAGCAGCACCTCGCCCAGGGTGGCCAGCGTGACGTCGTCGGCCCCTCCGTCAAGGAACTCGTGCTTCAGCAGCAGGGCCGAGGCCGCCGTGTCCTCCTCCTCCGTGTTGCCGGCCTCCAGGGTTGCGTCCAGGATCTGGAGGCCGTACACGTCCACCGTTCCTGCCGTTTGGTTGGGCAGACCCGGCGCCTGGAAGTGCGCCCCGAAGTGCAGCTTCGCCACTCCGTTTGGCGGCACGGTGAAGTACATCTTGGCCGTGCTCCAGGCGCCCTCGTCTCCCGCGAAGCTGCCGTACAGGGGGTCGTAGACGTTGTCGGCCTCGGACATGTACACCACGAAGTTGGAGGCTGTGCCGAGCCGGTACCGGCAGGCGAAGAGGAGCTCTCGGCCGGGGGCCAAGTTGTAGGTGCGCACGATGGTCCACGGGTTCGCAGCCAGGGTCAGGGTGTAGCCGTCCACGCTCGCTGCGCCAGCGGTGTGCGTGGCCAGGACCACGCTGCAGCCGCTGCTGGGGCGGACCGTCCAGTTTGACAGTGAGACGTCCATGGGGGCCAGGATCTGCTCTCCTATGGCGGCCACCACCTCGTCGGCCCCTCCGTCGTCCGGAAAGCGCACTGCTATTTGCAGGGCCGAGGCCGCCTCCGTGACTCCGAGCTTGCCCGCAAGGAGACCGTCCACTTGTGCGATGGTGTAGTAGCTGAGCAGCGCGGCTGCGATGCTCGAGGCCGTTGCCGTGTCCTGGTCGGCGGCTGAGCGGTACGCCACCAGCGCCGAGGTGATTTGGTTGGTTGTGAACACGTCCTGGTCCGGGCCCGTCCGGTAGGCCAGCAGCGCGCCCGTGATGGCGGCCTGCGTCTGCGTGTCCTGCGCGCTCGCCGTGCGGTAGTCTCCCAACAGGGCGTCCACTTGTGAGGAGGTGTAGTAAGCCAGCAGCGCGGCTGTGATGGCCCGGTCGTCTCCGCGTCCTGCGCTGCCCCTGTGCGGTAGTCTCCCAACAGCGCGTCCACTTGTGAGGAGGTGTAGTAGGCCAGCAGCGCAGCCGCGAGGGCCGCGTCCGCCGCTGCGACGGAGTAGCAGTCGGCCGTGATGCTCAGCGTGTCGTCGCCGTTGGCCAGCGCAGCAGAGAGAGGAGCCTCCAGATGCAGGTTGCGAACGACGTTGCTTCCGCGAACGAGCTCCCAAGTAGTGAAGCCCGCCCAGGCCGGCGCGTTAACAACTCCGCCGCTGCCGGACAGCTGCAGGGCGGCGAGCTCCGCGAGGATTGCGTCGAGGGCGCTCTGGAGCGTGGTCTCGCTGGCTGAGAGCGCGGCGTTCGTGGCGTAAGGCCAGCAGCGTCGCGTCGGCCTTGGCCCCCTGGAGCGCCGTGATGCTGGCGTCCCGGCTAGCAAGCTGCGCTGCGACGAAGGCCTCGGTGGCGAGACCCAGCAGGGCATTTGCTATCTTGGTATCCACCTCCAGTGGAGTGTCCAGCCCGTCCACCGTGGAGAGCAGGGAGGCCAGCGCGCTGGCGTCCGCCTTGCCGAGGAGGGCGGCGTCCAGGGCCGCCGTGGTGACTGCGCCAGGAGGGCCGCCGCTATCTTAGAGTCCACTTCTGAGAGCAGGGCGTAAGCTGTCAGCGCGCTGGCGTCCGCCTTGGAGGCCTG